TTAAGTACGACAAATACCTGGACCTACGTTGTCATGAAGCAAAGTTAATTCACAATTTCCTTTGAACTTAAGTGGTTTTTTTTTCATTACATTAGATTAGGTAGACAAAAGGACATATGATGTCTCTCAGCAAGGGGCATCTCTTCCATTTCATAGTATATGAATATTGCATAAAGTTTTACGCTTCACACGTTACAGCAATTGTTTAACTGAATTTTTCGGCGTAATGAGCTTAACTGGGCCCAATGAAATGTCTCTCTTTTCTCCTTAACGACAGCAGCACATTAAGATTTATGTACACATTCTGAAAGAGAAGGAATAGAGGCACTATTTACAAATTAGTCAATTTTTGTTCTTCTTTTTTTTCGTAACCAAACTCATCCACTTGTCTTCAGTTGTTGAAACATCCAACAATGGAATAATTGGGTTAAGAGTTTTGCCTTACTGGAGGTTTAAAATGGCAATGCAAAAACACTTCGGGGAACCTTAAATAATAAAGAATCTTTTGGCATTTTTTAATCACCGGTTTGAACGGGAAAGCATTATGTGTACATGTTGCTTTAACCCTACCCTAGATTTACGGGCGTTTTGTAAATGCATATTTTTACACAAACTTATCGATTTACGCGTTAAATGTAACCTGTTCACGTAGAAATAGGTATATAACGTATAAAAGTAACTCAATGGGCGTTTCAGAAAAATGAGTCGACATATGTATTTTGTGTTATATTATAAGGAATATTTAAGCTTAACATTAAAAACGGCTCAAATTGACCGATGCCGTAAATCCAATATTAAAACGAATATAATCGTGTTACTTACTAAACGATGAAAAGTATAACCATCTTTTGGCGTGTACCACCGGTGTTTCACAAGCGAATGCTTATGCGAAATAGGAAAAACTGTGCCGTTCTTAACGTGTTAAGCACTGTGCTGCACATGTTACTTGCTTTTAAATATCTTAAATGACTTTTGTAATGTTGTAGTCGATAAAACTTTAAATTTTTTTGCAAATATTTGGGGAAAAAAGTTTCCTCATCCTCGAATATCTTTGGTATTATTTGGTCGTAAATTTATCAATTTTAAAAATCAATGCAGTATTTTCGGCATATTTGCATCGCGCACACATACTTAGTTAATTTAACATAGTTGATAAACATTTAATATTCTAGTGGAAATACCTACAACATTTTGCGATTTCTGCTCTACATGGGCCTGCAAATTGCAGTATCAGATGATTTCTTAGAGGTATGTTATTTACTTTTAAGAAAATAAAGAAAATTCCACTTGTTAGGCACATTGATATTTGAGAAACTTTTTGCATAAAGTAATCATATGTGGACGAGGCGTACAATCTTTATAGTTGAAATTTTTAACATAACAAACGAAATATTTTATTAGCCTTTCATATTCCTTCATTGAATAGCTTCTCTTCAATAGGATATATGACAGCCTTCATCTTTGAATTATTGACCTGTCAGAGCATATGTATGTTTGCGATATCTACATGATTTAAAATTTGAATACATGCATGCATGTATGTGTAGGCAGGTGTATGGGTTTTCTGGATAGATTGAGAATTTTCCGTTTCCTTTTCCTTTTGTTCTTCTTTTTTTTTTTGTGTTCAGTATACTCGTATTTTTGTGCGATCTTGTGGGAGTAAAATCTTTCTACTCTTTGTTTGTTTTTGTTTTCCTTTTTTTTACATTTTCGGTTTTTCCTCTTTCGTGTCTTGTTAGCAATTGACAGCAGCAGCATCGATTTCATTGTCCTGCAATTGTAGCAATACTCAATTAATAATTTTTTTTTTTTTTTCTTTTGATTTTACCAACGTTGTTTCTTACTTTCACTCTGTTGCTTTTCAATTCATCAGATAATTTCTTACTTTTTATGAATCTTGTACTTTATGCATGTGTGCATTTCTTATGATTTCAATTTATTTTTGATTAAATTGCTATTTGTATTCTTAAGGGAACCATAAGCTTCAGAAGGTATGCTAGGTATTTACTATTGTGACAGTTACATAATACGCAGTCATACGCCATTCTATATGTGATGAAAAGTTACACACAGCTAAAGAAGAATGTGCTATGTTTGGACTGAGTCGGAGTTTTAATATCATAAAAGATAGAGATAAACGTTCTTGTAGACGTTTAATATGCCTTAGAGAAAATCAGATCTGTCGGAACGCAGGCCTCTTTGTGCCTCTAACAGTACTAAAATGGAAATTTTCGCACGTTGTTAGCTAATCTTGAGAAAACGGCAGCATGACAACATTTTCACTTGTGGTTCGAGTGCTGTGTGTACCAGCACTCACAGGAATGGCACGAAACCGTCTGTCACTGGAAACGGAGTGAAAGCGGATGCTTGACCTCTAGAAAAATGATCTTTTTAGGTAGGCTTTGCCTTTGAAAAGATAGCGTGGGGACAGAATAAGATAAGCACAAAGTTAGTAATACGAAATTTTTTATTTCGAACATTTGCTACTTAAGGAGGAACCTATCGTAATTAATGCACGCGTACATTTCGCCTCAAAGTAGCATAAAAATGAAATACTTTACTATTAATGCACAAACTGGGTCGTAAAAGGAGTAAGAAATTGTTCAGTTAATGATTTCGGCTATTTGATCTAACGTGAAATTAATTTTTGGTTCAAAGACGATGATTTTTTATAAGTTTATTGTATTATTCTCGGAGACTAGCGTTTGAATTCAATCCAAGAGCTCGATTCCTGTGCGTTTCAAGTAAAAAAACTGTGATGCAGGTATGAAAATTTAGGAAACCCCGTTGGATCTCTTGTCGTCTTAAAAGACGAACGATGGTGCTCGTGAAACCAGCACTTCGGGGTATTTCCGTGCCAATTGCACGTAAAAAAACCGAGAATGAAAGAAATATTTCCGAGAATAAGACCACAGTGTAGCTGATATTGCAAGCTATACGTTCATAAGTGTGGGTTAAGCCAGCGTATGCCAGCTGAACCCAACCGCCAATCATAATTAAAGTATGGTCTACTTTACCGGAAGTTCAAGGCTGATATACCAATTTCATATTCTTGCCTCTTACCTTCTTTGCTATACGATAGCTTTGTCTTAACAATAAGAATGTTAGTCGCGTTAGTTGAGGTTGGCCACTTGTCATTTTCTGCCAGATAATGCGACTATCTCGCACACACTTCTTAAAATATGTTGTTGTTTTAATTACCTCATTGGAATCAAACTTTTTATACATCTATATATCCATATTGCTTTCCTGAGATGCATTTCGAATTTGAAAGGGACCAAGAACTAATGTCCTTTATATGGTTTTTGTAACTTGCTTTGTAAACGTATTGAAAAAATTAGATTTTTCTAAACCTTAATATTGGATGGGCGTGGTCAAATTTCCTCATCTTAGCACAGGTGCTACACCAGGACCCACAGAGTATTTTTTTAATTCCTTTTGAGAAACAAGGATGCTCTTGGTTTACGCGGTACTGTAGGAATGTCGTTTGACCGATTTTGCCCATTTGCGATACTAGCCTGCGTGTAACAACTTCCAATGTTCGTACCAAATTTGAGGTCGATAGTTTAATTGTTGCGACTAGGGGACTGTCTCACACAGACATTACTGAAGAAGAGCGACCCAGACGGGCAGATGAACAAATTTAAATCGATTCAGAATTTGAAGCTGATCATGAATATGTAAGCTTTGTGGAGTCTCTGATGCATTCTCCTGGGCGTTGCAAACGTTTCGACAAAATGAATATACGCCTCATCCTTCGATGATGGGTATAATTAATGAGTATATATGCCTGCATTTAAAAGAAGATACTCATTTTTATTACACTCTTTGCATTTTCCTGTTGGTAAGTAAACTTCCTCTAAGCACTACAACAAATATATAGTAAATAGTATGAGATATTACTTAAATATATATAGATATTAACAGCCAACTAAATTAATTATATGCACTGAATACTTAAATGGATGAAGTAATTTGAGTTGATTAAAATCAAAACGAAAATGGTCTTCACATTTACTTTACCGAGCGTATAAATATCAATTTTGTCAATTCTGTCAAGTGTCAAAAACTACCAAATTTTATTGTGCAAAAGAAATGCCTCAAAAATGCCTCAGATATGTTTGAAAAGAAAGTAAATATCCTTTGCTCTGTTACCTTGCTTTTCGTTAAGTCCTTTACTTCTGACTTGCATAATATCCTATTTACATTAAGGATTGTTTGGATAGAGGATACATTTGAAATATTCATTTTTAGCGCTAAATATTTAGTACAAAAGTATCGCATGCGCTTTTTCCATTCATTTTCAAGTGCTACTCACACGTGGTTATTAGTCGTTCCTCTTTATGCTTCTTTTCTCTTATTACCATTGAACTCTTTCTTAGTAGTACTCTCTTTTCATGCTAAAGATGAATTTTAGTACTTTCTCTCTTCGTTGATAATTTTCGGTAACAAATAGTTTTAAATAACAACACATTTTCTAATTTTATGTACATCTGAATAATGTAGAAATTTTAAGAGTATTTTCTTTTCATTTATCATAGAATCCGAAAGAGAATATAATATATGTAAAACAAGAGAGACTTAGAGAATGAGAGAGACAGAGAGAGAGAGAGAGAGAGAGTGAAGAAGAGAAACAAAGAAAGAAAACACGAGTATAGATGGTGATAAGAAAGAAAATTGTTGTTAAAGGATAATAAAAATGTGATTTTTGCGGTGTTACAAATTCAGTAAACGGACATTATTTGCTAACGAAGCACATGTAAGCGGTAGGTTATTGTACGTGAAATGACGTTTTTAGAATTTGTGTAGAAAAGCCCAAAAAGAAGTAAACATGAAAATTAAACGGTCGCGAATAACCCTTGCGGTGAAGTAAAAAATTGCAAACAAAAAGTATTAAAATAATAATTGAGCGGTGTGTAAAAAAAATCTTAATGAAAAAGTTTATTTAAAAATTAAAAAAAAAAAAAAATACATATATATATATAAGTATATATATATAATAAAAGAAGAGAAAAAAGTGCAAAAATTTTTGAAATAAAAGCTAAAATTTATGGAATTTAGCGCACACTTTTGTTTGCCTTCTTATTAAACCATGATGTGTGTAAGATGCGGATTATACTACTGAGTCTTGCTGTTGTTAGAAACTGAAGAACAAAAAACGCACGGAAAGTAGGTTAAATGATATGCGTGTTATTCTCTAAAAAAATTTCTTTATATTTTCTCGTATATATATATATATATAAATATATACATATATATAAGTTGAAATGATGTTAAAATACATCAAAAAGAAAGAAAACATGTCCTTGTTTGTAGTAGTTTTATTTACATATTTATGCACATATTTAAGTGGTACTTTTAATTTATATAATTTGCATTTTATAATTAAATGCAAATAATTATTTTCTAGTAAACGATGGATAAATAGAAAATTTATCTTAAATATTTAATAAAATTAAAAACTCTTTCATTATCTTATTTGATTGCTCATCTCATACAAATTTGAAAGGGGATGACTTTACCTTCACGTTCTTGCACAAAGCTTTATTTCACTTTATAATTCTATTCCTATTTTTGTTATCGTCTTTATCTGTAAAAGCCGGCTTTGGGAAATTTTTTCGTTTTACAGAGCTTGCAAAGATTGACTTTTAATACTTAATTGATCAAAATATGAAATGAATAGCTTAGCTTATCTGCATGAGTGAGATTTTCATTTAAAAACTTTTTGTTGCATACTTTTTCCAACAGCTGGAATATACATCGATAGCAAATTTGTTGCCTACTTTTTCGAAAAATATAAATATAATGTAATCGTTTAATGAACTCTTGTTAAGAGCTATTATAAGAATCTCGTAAATCTTTATATATAGGTTTAAAACAAAAGATTGCAATAACTGTTGTAGATTTCTTTGACGTTAATCTTTCAAATTTAGTTAAAAAGGGAAAAATTTAAATTAAAAAAATTTCTAACATTTTCTAAGAAACCTTTGAAATAAGATCATATGCTTCCTGTTTGTCTTCTGTTCGAGTTGGTGCTTCTCGAATCTTAAAGCAATAAAAAAAAGGAAACATATCCCTTGAAGGGACAAACAATAGCTTAGGGTTTTTTTTTTTTTTGTTATTCTTGTTATTGTTATTTTTGTTTTTGTCGCTCTTGATAACCTAGTTTGTCTATTATTGTTTTTCGGCTAAATAAGAACTCTTTACAAAAAGTTTTCTCAAGCTTTCCTTACTGTAAACGATTAGTATTCATTTTCCTTTGTATGCTCGTGCGTGTATGTTTGCTGTTTTGTTGTTTTTCATGTCTCACCTGAAAATGTTTTTCTTCCTCTTTCTTGAATTTTTACTTGATTTGTTTCCCCTTCCCATTGGTTCCATTGTTTGAAATTTGATTTCATGTTGCAAGACTAGTTTTTTACTTCAATTTTATTTTTTTATTGTTTGTGTTTTAAACTGTTTTTTTTTTTTTTGTTTCTTTTTTATTGGCAGTTAATTTCGTTTGGAAATTAACATCATTTTCGTTTGTTTAACATAGCAAATAAAATTCGATAAGAAGAGAATTGTAAAAGTTTTCATAGATAATTAAAGCAATTTGTAATCTCTACATGGAAAACGTTTTCTGCTTTAGAAAAACTTTCAAGTGCAAGCAGTAAATAAAAATAGATACCGAATAAGAGAAATCAAGAAAATACTTCAAAGTTAATATAATGAGTTTTTTGGAATTCCAAAAGCTAAAACTATTTTACACAGAGCAAAAGTAATTCTGATCCGTCCTGAATAAAGTTGAAAATCTTCAGTTGCACTGCACTGTAAGAGCCGACATATATTAAATAGTACATCGAGTTTGTTGTCTCTACATATAAATAGTATTCTTACGCCTGCTTTTTATTCCAATTTTTACAACCAAAATAGCAAGTGTAGTACAGTTGCCCCTATTGCTGCCGGCCTTACAAGCTTATGCGGCCTAAAAATGTTTAGAGACTTTAGAAAATAAACATTGACATTTCGTTTGGGGCCAAGAAACTTTGATCCTACTTTTCCGCTTAGTATTGTATTTCTATTAGTTACCATGTAGTACATCGTAATAGATACACTTGGGAAGTTTTAGGAAATTTTTGGATTCTTAGATGCTACTCTAACTTTATACACGCGCTCAATTTCATTTTTGTGTAGCATTCAATTAAATAGTTGAAAAAGAAATTTTATGATTTTAGACACTAGCGTACTTATACCATTTTCATTAATAACGCTTTGTAACAAAAAAAGCGCATTTATATAACATATTTAAATCTAACGGATTGAAAGCACTATTTATATATCGAAAGGATATTCGTATACCCTAAATGTGAAGTAAATGGTTACAATTAGCTTCTTACTAAGCTTCTTATTAAGCTTTTGAAAAATTTCTGGAAAAAAAGAAGAAAAAAGGCTTGGTAGCCTTACTATAATATCTACCTCCACACATTTACGCGGATTTATGCAGGACTTCATATGGACCCACTTTTTATTATACACATTTGATTGCATGTTATTCACATATCTTATCAAAATTCTCCCGACTACAGCAATTTCGCTATCATTATTATCATTCCAATATGTGAATAGTTGAGTGTCGGATACTCCTCGCCAATAAAAGCAAAAGTCAAAGTAGTCAAAGAGTCTGCATAAGAGATTGCTTATGTTTGATGGACAAATTTGTTTTTGATTAAGGGCATCCTCTCTAGCCAGACAACCCTTTGGTAGTTTCGATATCTTATCGATAATATCCAAACATAGCGTTCCCAAGACACATCCGATGATAAATTGGACTTTTTTACTCTTGGGGAATCAAACGTTTGTGTCCTGAATGGGTATAAATCCGTTCAGAGTTGAATTCTTAAATTTTGAATTTCTTTACATTGTTGCCAAAACTTGTATTCAGTTTTTTTTTTTTTTTCATTTTTCATAATAAATTTTTCATTACTCATAACGAATTGATTGACTTTGATAATAATTAAAGAAGAAAAAAAAAAAAAGAAACGAATCGTTTTTCATTCGCTCTTATTATTATTATTATTATTACTGGCGATACGAAGCGTGTTATTATATTTCATTACGATATCATAATACGTGATTAATGACCACATTTTATTGTTGCTATCTTTTTGCTATTATTTTTATTGCAAACGTTTATTGTTTAATTTCTAACAGAGGACGAAGCAAAACATAACATAACAAGCATGAGCAGTTAGTTTTCAAAAATTTTAAAACAATGATTTATTATTTAGTAGTAAACGAATTAATAATTGAAATAAATTATTAATCAACTTATATAACGATTCAATAAAATTTTCAGTCATTCAAAGGAATATCAAAAAAATGAAAAAAAATGCACAAAATATATCGCTAATCGAGATGAGAGTGTTGTTGTTTACATATGACTTTTCATTTATAAAAACAAGTATTAAAGCAAAACTATTTCGGATGGAACGGTGGTTATTTCCAATTTCACATATCGTCTTTCCTTTCGCACACATATATCATGTACGGAGGTTGAAGTTCGTCTTTGAAGACCAGTGTATGCATGTAAACTTCATCATTAAAATTATAATTGTATTACTAAGTCGCATAGCGCTATTATCAATTTCTCCGCTTGAGTTACACCTTCACTCCACTTCGTATATGGAGCATTCAAAAATTCTCGGAAACTGAAATTTGTGCTTACATCATAAAAAAGTGCCCAGCGATGACTAGAACTCATAAAAAGTTCTTTTGCATTTTGGGACTGATAGGAAATATACGACATGTTTTTAAAAAACTTTTTGGCTTTTTATTCGCGAACAGTCGAAAACATATTGCAAACTTTTAAAAGGATATACTATGCCGTGTACGTCGACCAAGTTGTAACAGAAACCGTAAGTTAAGAATACTTTGAGAAATCTCTTTACGTAGACTTGACGATTTGTTTGGCTTGCTATTATTGACCTATGCCTGAGGCTTCAAATGGCGTCGGTTGATGTTTGTGCGGGGATTGCAAGGATTAAACATCAGCGAACTGTTTGGGAACGTTTTTAGTTAAAATTACATGTTCTGCTAACGTCGAGCAGATGTCCGATAATATGGTTGACAATTTGTCTATTTTGTAGGCAACAATAATTTTTTAGAAAAATTTGAAAAACCTTTGCTGCGAAAAGCTTACAGTTTTGCTTGTAAAATCCATTTTTGAAAACCAACTAATTATATACTTCACCATTTAAGGTCCAAGAGTATATTAAGTTTGTTACGATGTGTGCAACAACTAGAAGTGCTTGACAAATGAATTCACCTTCTATTACATTGATCGATTTTGTCTGGCTCGTCTTCGATTGGCTCGTCTTACCCGGCATTTTTGGGCTATTTTCATGGAATCTGAGTAACTGACGCGCTTTGGTCCAAGAACGCAAGCCCTTAAAAATGGTAAAGATCGAAATAGTTTTTCGGCTACTTCCCTTATAATGCTTTCTTTTGAAAAATCGTTGTATGCACAATTGTGAGATGACGCAGGCTGTTTAAGGCCACTATTGCGATTTTATTTGTTTTTATATGAAAATTTTCTCTCGAATAATTATGGTAATAATCAAACCAAATAATTTTTCCACGAACTTTTATTATCTTTAATTAATTTCAATTTTTATATGTACAATTCAAAGATGGGTGCGTCAGGTTTGTCTTCTTCTTTATAAGAATCGCAATTACTTATCAAATCTGCTGTAACGAGTGTAAATTTTCGTAATCACTGTAATGTCTGGGCTTTGTTTGTCTGTCGTTTAGTGATGAAACGCTAGCGACGCCTACGCCTGATAGAAATCAACAGATAGAAGCGAATATTCATAGCTAATAGATGGCCACAGATAGAAATAGGCGCAATTAGCTTCGAATACCGTCACAGTCACTGACTTGTAATTCGCATAAAAAATTTATATTGAAAATTGATATAAATATTCGCCAAGGCCATCTAAGAATTCAATGGAAAATCCTATTAATCACTTGCCACTTCCAAAATGAACAAGATATTCAAATTTGTAGCAACAAATATAAGTTGTACTAGTGCAGCAGTTCGAGCACTACGCGATCAATATAATTTGTGATTATCCGCCTGAGTAGTTGAAGGCGTGGAATCTCGACTAGCAAGTCAATGGTCGTGGGTTCGAATCTCAAGTGCGGTAAAGTTTTTAATAAAAGCCGATAGCCTTAGATGCGAGTGCTTTTAAGAGTTTAGTCTTACAATTTATTTCTCTGGCAAAATTAATAATAATACTAATTATGAATTTGTTTATACTTGTATTAATTTCAAGCTCACTATCGACTGCAGAATGTCTATTAATTTGGGCATTACGCTTATCAACCATAAACGCCATAGGCCTTATAGAAAGTATATATAGTTTCTATTAAATGAAGATATGTTCATCCGATTGGGATCATCCGTCAGTTCATCTTACAATCCACGCTGCTGCCATTTCCTGTCTGTCCGCGAATTTTCTTTGTCTAAAGTCCATGGATCAAATATGAAAGAGGGCTTGAAGGATTCGCAATTGCTAAACAACTGATAGAGCTTAACACGCCCAAAAATTGTAAAGTCTGTAATGTACGTAAACTTCGACTTCCTTAAATCAATGAAGTATTTGATGCAAGTAATTGTCAGACCATACCCAATATCGTTGCAAGAGTAGTACTCATGAGGCAATTGACCCACGTAAACTTGATAAAAATTTTAGAGATATTTTATGCTTATTCAGGCTAAGGAGTATCGACGGCTCACTTAGAAGCGAACATTGCTTAAATCCTTTCTTTTCATTTACATATCTGATTTCATGTTGAAATGATCTTTTAAAGTGTTCTTAAAGTTTTATTAAAACATCTTTTATTCATTTTGTTATTTCAGCTTTATAGGTATATCTACTGTATTTCCACCTGCTGTTTGCTGAGACAAACAAAAGTTGATGTGTTAGTCTATAAATTTTCAAAAATCACAATCACAGATTTTCCTAATATAAGTAATTTGTGTAGGCACAAAAATGAGAAAAAAATAAAAACACTAGCCACAAACCCAGTGCAAGGATTTGATAGCAATATTGAAACCAGACAATTGCTTAATTTCAACTGCAATGCAACAACAGGAACAGAAACACCAGTAATAGATGATGAATAACTAAAGTTTGCTTTTAAAAATGAAAATTTTAATCTTTTTATTAAAAATATAAATAAATAAATTTAAATAATTTATTTGGGTTTTGCTTTGGTGTGCCAAATACATTAAATGTGCCACACAGAGATTTTATATTATTTCTAAAAAAAAAAACAAAAAAAAAAAAAAAAAAAAAAAACCTATTTAGAAATCTATTCATAAATGCGCAAAATTTTTCTCTTTACAGTGCGAATAAATTTCAATAAAACACGCATCCCCGGTATTCACATATATATATATATATATATATGAACTAACACACTCTAAATATGGAAATACTTATGGAATGCAGATGTGTAATGCAGTTAACACAGATAGCTATGAAGAGAGGCTGACTGTAAAGGGTGAAAACTTTGGTTGGCACTATTGTCGGTTACTCCATGCCGTTAATAATGATGATAACGTTGTATAAATATTTAAAAATTTATTCATATCCATACAGTGATGGTTAAAGACCATAAATTTATATGATTGCTGGTTTGTCCTTTACCAAAAAGGCTATTATAAAGGGCGCAGGAAATATGGTTAAAAAAAGTAAATAAATGAATTACAAAAAAAAAAAAAAAAAAAAAAAAAAGGAAAAGATAAACAAAATTTCATGAAAAAATGTGCATAAAAGTAAAAAATTTACTTTCAATAATAAAACGAGAATTTTAGCGTTCGCTCATAAAAGAAAATATAACAAAAAAATAAAGGTGCAATCATTTTAGTTATATTTTTACAAAATTTTTTATACAACAATTTTTAACAACACTAAAGCTAAAGTGAAACGCGTTTGTTTATGTGCGTGCGTATTTTTTCCTCTCTGTTATTGCGCTAAAAATTACACATGAAAATTTTTAATATAATGGAACTGTTATTTCTGGCCAATCATATAAGGTAAGCGAAACATGATAATTTTTTTGGAAAAAAATTTTTAAGGCTTACTTTTTGACGATAATAAAACTAATATTCGAAGAAAAATTCCAATTCGAAATCCAAAGAAATATCTTAAATAATTTCTAATGTAATTAAAATGTTTTTTTTTTTTTATTTTTTTCTTTATTTTTTAACAGCATATATAGTTTGGTAGTAAATGAAAGGAGAAATTACCGCAGTAAATAATTACAGTTTACGACCTTTCAAACGTGTCACGTTGACATTTATATATAATATGTATAGACTAAAAAGAAAACTATTATTTATGTTGCTCCAAGTTTTTCTCTATATAAAAGAGAAAAAAAAAAAAAATTCCACAATGCAACATTATAATTAATGGTGCATAGCTTTGCGCAAAAGCTTACAGTTTTTTTTTTTTTTTTTTTTTTAAACTTCTAATTAAAGGCCATAAAACTTAGTGGCAACGTAAGCAATCAGAGTTAAATGAAAGTATAAATTTGTGATAGTGTTATAGAGCGAATCTTTAAATCTCTCTACATGGAATTGAAAGATTTTCATTGAATCTTCTCTGAATTTAAAGCGTCGATCTGGTTTATATTGCAGCCTGAGCGTAAGTTAGAATTAGAAAAATATTTTCCTTATAACTTTTATGATAGACTGTTCTTGTAGTGAAAATTGTCATGTTTTTTTTTTTGAAATTATCGTGGTCTTGTAAAACGAATTCGATTATACCCAGAATTACGCGCTGTACGAATAATATCATTTTACGTGATGATGTTCATTTATTTTAGAAAATGCAGAGGTTAATAAATGGGTTTTCAAGTGCGAAACCATAAGTAGTAAAGTGCTCTGTACTTGTTCTCCAGATAATTTAAAACCCAAATTGATTTTTAGCAGTTCTCGGGAAACAATTGTCTTTGCTTTTACTATCATCGCTTATCGTACTTCTATAAATTGGGAATTGTCAACTTTTTACAAAAATCGAAAATTTGTTCTGAAAATTTATAAAAACGTCTAGCTACACTTTTTTTTTTTAATCTCTCGGAAATCTGCCATAAGGTCAATCGGCAATCACTAGAAAATCATATTTTAAAAATGTAGTTCAAATTTCAGGACTACTTGCTGAAAATTGAAGGAGCTACACTCACTTTAGTCAAAAGGAATTGGTTTTCCCAGGGGCTTTGCTACTAGTTACTAGGGTAAATTTCCTTCCTTTGTTATTGAAATCTTAGTTACTGTTTTTTTGCCTTAGGAGCATTATTCGATGAGATTATCAAATTTATTTATTGGTTATTGAAATGTAATTGTTGAGAAATCACTTAACATCAGGCACTCTTTAACTTAATTAAGTGAGTGGAGAAATCAAACAAGTCATGTTATTTTAATATATCCATCAGTGTCTATTAAGCAAATAATGATCAAAACTGCAAATTGGATTAAAAGGAATGTTATTGAGGGTCGATCATGTCTCTAATTTCAGGATTTAATGATTCTCTCTTCAACGAGTTGTTCCTACTCGAATGGTTCCTCGATTCAATAACTACTCGTTTATAGTAATCCTTTGTTTAGGATAAGTTTCTATTGATTTATTTAGCTAAAGACGTTCTATTAACCTGGAAGTTGTCTTTTCGATATAACAATTTCTAGATTCAGGATTCTTTTCCTAATTTAAATTATCCTCTTTTCTATGTAATGTTTTCTTACGAACTTCATGGTTTTCTCGTAAAATAATTTCTAATTGCGATGCTCTGTTCAATTATGTAAATTCCTTCGGAAAGGAAGTATCTTTCAGATACTGATCTCGTAAGAGTTAGTAATTTTGTGCTTTCATATTTCGCGCAGCTACAGGTAGCATAGATGAAAGTCGCGAGTTTCAAGTCGATGTTCAATCGTAGCATTACTGAGTGTCCAGTCGATATCAATTGAACACACAACTACTAAACTGAGTACACTTCCAATCTTTTTTCCTCTTTCACCGCTTTTTTCTGACCATATTCGTGCTACATTCATACGAAACATCTCCCGAATAATCCGTCATACTAAAAAAAAAAAACTTTCCGCTCAACTAATCAATCATCTTTCCTACACAATGATATATACATTCAAAAAGCAACTAAATAATGACGTTTTCAATATATGATGAATGAAGTTCTAAAATCCATTCCTTAGGTTAATGAATATGGTATACAAGTTGTTCTTCTCAAAAGGTGCTTAAAAACTTAATGATTCTCTATGAAGCTAGATAATTATCTCTGCAAAATAAATAAAATATCGAAACTTAACGAATCTTCATTCAACCAGAAGAAAATTAACTCTCTCATGAGATAATTTTCTTTAACTAAAACTCGACAACATCGGAATTTGAATTTGTTGATTTCTAGCCAGTTGACTGTCAGTCCCATTGTTGTCAAACAATTTCTGATTATTCACACATCCTGACTATCACTCCTTCGTTCGCCCGTTCAAATATTCATTTTTGCCAACGATGGCAATTCTTTCTCGTTTCTCTTTAATCTTATTGAGTCATTGCTCAAGTTTAAGTTTTCGGCAAAGGTGAAAGTGCAAAATTTACTTGGTTTTGGATTGATTACCTCATATATTTCGAAGACTTTATTCTCACTTCTTTTACTTTTATAAAAACCTCCTTCTTGTACCTATCTATTATACAGGTCTATTTACATTTCAATAGATTTTTGACTGTAGCTTAAAGTTCAACACCATTCCATATTTAGTTTAAATTTCCCTCTGTTTCGTAATTAACATTTTATCGTAGCCTCTGCAAGCCATTCGCTTCTCAACACTTCTATTGAAATTACACCATAAACATAAAAATTACTCGTTGATGGCTCTTTGAATTTCTATTTATAAACCCAATTCGTTGATCGTTACTTTTATACATCGATTACGCTGTTTTCCCTAATTATAATGGAAAAATATATCATTCATTTATCATTTGTGCCCAAGAAAAATCATGTTATGAACTTAATATACCTTTAGTGGTGAGTAAGGAAATAAATAGTTACTTAAAAGCATTAATACCCACCATCCATAATGCACAACGAAAACATAAAATTTTGTCATGCAATCTCTAATGGAATAAAATTCTGTGGAAACATAAATAAAGGCTGGCCTGCAGAGAATTCATGGAGCCATGTAAATACTGATTTTCTTGTAGTTATTTTGCCTCACATTAAAAACTTTGACCGTTCAGCTTAAGATTGAGTAAAGAGAGAAAGAATTTATTTGAATCATAGCAAAAAAATTTTAAAGTAATGAAAATTTTCTCCTAAAGCGGACGAAAATAACAAAAAAAAAAAAGAAAGAAAACAAAAATTAAATGTTAAAAGTAAACACAAATTAATTTTATATCAACTTCCTTTTAGTGATTGAGAAATACGAAAAAAATTTGTTCACTGATTCCCTCCAATGTGGCCTCTTTCTGTGACCTTTTACTTATCTTTTTTTTTTTTTTTTTTTTTTTTTTTTTTGCTTCGGTATACACCTAACGACCTTAACGCCACTTTAACAGTTGTGTAAGCTTTGCTTAGTTCCTTGAAAGTTGTCTTTTTCTTACCATGTTTATCTTTCTTAGAAAGCGAAAAACTGATACCGAAGGAGAGAGAAATTGTGGATATTAAAAATTTATACACCATTTGGTTTTTTCAGTTGCCATTGCCAGATCTCCTTGAACATTTTTAAAGAAAAAGAAAAACCAACATAAAGAGGAAAAAGAAAAAGAAAATTGAATTAAATTTTTTCTGTTCTGACTTGAATGGCGAGTCGGTTAGTTGGTTCGCTTGTTTGCCGAGTAATAGTTATAGTTAGAATATGTCGGTTACAAATGTGACAATTATGAACGCATTTTCTGCTAAATGCAATTGTATTTCCTGTAAAACTTTAGCGCTGTATACTGAAAAACTTTTATATTAAAAAATATATATTATTGCAGGTAAATATGTTTGGCCCACTTTTGAAAGGATTTCATTTGACTTTTATTTGACGCCTTTTCAAATGCAACGGAAATATATATTAGAAAATATGAAAAAAATTTTCATAACATATCTGTTGACCTCGTTATTAATGTTTATTTTGCACTAAATTTCTGAGTGCATTATCATCATCTTTAGTAAAGTTTGTGAAATTGAAATTGATTCCATATATGTAATGTTAAAGATTATTAATTTAGTTCATATTTCATTCGAATAAGAATTTTATCAACCTGCAGCAACCAGCATCAAAAGTTTAAAACCCATATTATCAAGCCCATAACTAATGAATACATTGAATCCGTAATTTTGAATTGGCGTAGACTAGAGGGTGAAGTAAAACTGTAATACATAGCAAAATCTTCAATTTTGCCGTGAAACATCGATACAATATTGTTTTCTTACGTAAATTAAATGCCTTTGCGAATTTTATGTTTCTGTCCAACACTTTTTGGGCTTACATTCGTGCCATAGAGTCGTGATTTTCATCACGTTAATCTAGGTTTTCTATACAATTCTTATCCGCCTGAGAGGTTGAGTAGGCAAAGGATCTCGACTAGCAAGTCAACGCTCAGATCTGCGTTCAGATTTCAAGTACGATAAAGATTTTAATAAAACCGATAGCTTTAGATGGTAATAAACTTTTAAGACTTTAGTCTTGAAATTTTTTTCTCTACCCAAAATTAATAATAATAGTTATAATAATAATAATAAGATGAAGGGGATCTGTTCACAAATTATTTACAAAAACTTGTATGTACAATGCTTCTTCTGTTCATGTCCTTTCGAATGTTACGATTCGACTCACTTTGTCTTCGACAAATATTCTTCTTATAGAGTATTTTAAAAGCAAGTTACGATTACCTTAGTTCGTTGTGGCATTTTCGTGTCAATACCTTTTTCTTTGAAGGGTTGTTAAACATTTTGTCAATCGTTAGGCTACATGACTTTGTCGTAAAGCGTCATGGATCTGCATCCGGGTTTACAATTTTACGAATTTTGTTTCCTAGAAAA